TAAACCACCTACAGTAGTAAAACACAGGGCAGCAGTCAGCTACTGAATGTTAAAACAGTCTACAGTTAGTACCATGGCAAGCAGTCGAGCACTGAATGTTACACCACCTACGTAGTACACAGCCGCGCGTTCCGCACTGAATGTTACCAACGCTACAGTGTAACACAGGGCCAGCCAGTCAACATCTGAAGTGTTCAACCACCATACGTTATCACACAGTGGCAGCAGGTCGGGCACTGATGTTACAACACGTTTTTTGTACAGGGCAGCAGTCCGCACTGATGTCATACAAGGTGTAACACATGGCAGGCAGTCAGCCTGTGTTCAACCACTACCAGTGTAACAATACGGCGCGTCGCACTGATGTTACAAACACCGTACAGTAGTAACATGGCAGCAGTCGGCACTGCAATTCTTCAACCCCTACCCAGTAGTAAACACAGGGCAGCATGTCACTGAATGGTTACAACACATTTCCGTGTAAAGCACTGGTCAAGCACGCAGCACCTTGAGACTGTTTCCACCCCCCCCCCTACCCCGCCCACGCTGAGTACCACGCCCAGAGCAGTCGCATCTTGATGTCTACATCACCTACAAGTGCAGTAACCATCGGCAGCGTTTCCCTGAATGTTCAGCCACCTACAGTGTTAAAGCACAGGGAGCGTCAGCATGCTGTTACCCCACGTACAGTAGTACACAGGGCAGCAGTCGCGCTGAATAGTTACAGCACCATACGGTAGTAAACATAGGAGTCAAGTCAGCACCTGACATGTTTCCACAACTACTGTGTAGCCATCGGAGCAGTCAGCTCTGAATGTATACCACTTACAGTAGATCAGCATGGAGAGGGTCAGCACTGAATGGTTCACGCCAACCTACATCAGTAACCATAAGGCAGATCAGCCTGAACATGTTTTACAACACTACGAGTAGTAACAGCATAGGCCAGCAGATACTGCACTCGTGTTACAACCCCTACAGTAGTAACACTCGGCAGCAAGTCAAACATGATATGTTACAACACCTATACAGTAGTAAACATGGAGCTAGTCAGCAGGCTGAATGTTACACCCCTACAGTGTACACATGGCAGCAGTCAGCACTGAATGCTTACAACCACCGATAACAACGTAGTTAAACACATCGGCCAGCGTACGAGCTGATGTTACAACCATACGGTAGTAACAGTGCAGCATGTCGCCTGAATTGTTACCAAACTCAGTAGTCCAACACAGGGCAGCGTCAGCACTGAATGTTTTAAACCACCTACAGTAGTAACCATGGGCGCAGTACAGCACTGAATGTTACAACCCACTACAGATTAGAAGTAACAACAATGGCGCTCAAGAGCAGCTGATGGTTACAACCCTCCTACAGTTAGTAACAATGCAGCGTCAGCATGATCTCATAACCCACTTACAGTCAGTAACACTCGGAACGCGCTCGAACACCTGAAATGATTACGAACCACCTACGTAGTACAATGGCGACAGTTACATTGATGTTTACAACACCTACTAAGTGTAACACAGGCGCAGCAGTCAGCCAATTGAATTGTTCCCCCTACTAGTGTAACAGGCAGCACTCAGGCAGCATGCCATGTATACGCCAACCTATCAGTAAGTAACAAAATAGGCGCGCGAGTCAGCACCTGCAATGTTACACCCACGTAGCAGTTGACTAAACACATGGCAGCAGTGCAACTGAATGTTACAAACAGCCTATACAGTAAACATGCAGCCAGTCAGCAAATGAATGTTACAAACCCACTCCAGTAGTAAACATTCGCCAGCAGTCAACCTTGATGTTCACCCCTACCAGTTAGTTACGAGCACACGCAGCAGCAGTCAGCATGAATGCTATAACAAAACACTACCAGTAGCATATACAATGGCAGCAGTCAGCCTGAATGTGTTACACACCCTACGCTAGTTCAACCATGGCAGCATGTCAAACATGTTAACACCCACTACAGTAGTAACACAAGGCCGCAGTCGGGCCACTGGAATGTATACACGCCACTCACAGTAGTAAACATGGCAGCAGTCAGCACCTGACATGTTACACCACCTTACAGTCAGTAACACATAGGCAGAGTCAACCTGATTGTTACAACCCCTACCAGTAGTTAACCATCGAGCAGCAGTCTAGCACTGAATGTTAGCACACCTACAGTGTTAAATCACTCGGCAGCAGTCAGCATTGAATGTTACACAAACCTACAAAGTAGCTAAAACATGGCAAGCAGTCAGCTACTGCCTGTTCACAGCTACGTGGTTAACACCATGCAGCAGTCAGGCACTGATGTTACAACCCCTACAGCTAGTAAAACGCGGGCAGCAGGTCAACACTGCGAATGTTACAAACACCCTAGAGTAGGTAACACTGGCGCAGTCGAGCAAAATGATGTTACAACACCTACGTAAGCTAAACACATGGCAGCAGTCAAGCCACTGATGTTAACAACCACCGTCCAGTAGTCACAGCGAGCAGCATGTCAAGCACGTGAATGTTACACACTTTCAGTGTAAAACTTCCGCAAGACAGTCAACATCTGAATGTTAACAACTCACCTACGTCGTAACACATGGCAGGAGCAGTCAGACTTGAATGTTACAACCACCATCAGTTCAGTAATCATGGCCAGCAGATCCAGCCTGAATGTTTGCAACACCTCACAAGTCAGTACCAATGGCCGCAGTCCACACTGGAATGTTACACAACCTAACCAGTAAGTAAAATGGCAGCAGTCAGCACTGAATGTTACACCCACCTACGTTAGCCGTACAAATAGGCAGCGTTCAGCCCTGAATGTTTACACCACCTCAGCTAGTACCGGCAGCGTTCAGCACTGAATGTTCAACCACCTACCCAGTAAGTAGAAAAGGGCCAGCAGTTCAGTACTGCAATGCTACTACACCCACTACAGTGTAAACCTGGCAGCAGTCAGCACTTGAAATGTTAATACACGCTCAGTAGTAACACTGGCAGCGTGCAGCCTGAATGTTACAACCACCTACGTGTAACACATGGCAGCGTCAGCACTGATTGTTTACACCACCTACAGGTAGTAAACATGGCGCGTAACATGGAATGTTCCACACCTACGTGCATAAAAATACGGCAGCAGTCAGCACTGAATGTTACAACCACCCATACGGCTGTAACAGCGGAGCAATTCAGTACTAGAACTGTACACTCACTACAGTGTAACACAGGCAGCAGCAGCTGATGTTCAACCACATACAGTAGTAACACAGAGAGCAAGTGCCACGCACTGAATTGTATACAAACCAGCCTATCAGTGTGTAACATGGCAGACAGTCAGCACTGATGTCTACAACCACCTCAGTTTAGTAACAATGGCAGCAGTCGAGCAACGAATAGGTTACACCCTACAGGTAGTAACAAGGGGGCAGTCAGCAGCTGATGTTACAACCACCTACAGTAGATAAACATCAACAGCATCGCACTGAATGTTCAACACTACGAGTAGGGTAACCATGCGACAGTCGAGCACTGAATGTTACAACACTACGTAGTACGATGGCACGCAGTAGCATGATGTGTACTCCCAATCCGTCAGTAGCACATTGGCGCGTTCAGCACTCGAATGTTACACCACTACAGTCGTAGAACATCGGCCAGACAGTCAGCTACTGAATGTTTACACACCTACAGTCGTAAACATGGCTAAGCCGTCAGCATTGAATAGTTCACCACCCTCAGTAGTAACTCATGCGCAGTCGCACTGAATGTTAGACCCACTTACAGTGTAACACTAGGCAGACAGTCAGCTGAATAGATTACAACCGCTACAGTAGTAAGCACCATGGCAGCGAGTCGAGTGCACTGATGTTCATACCAACCCTAGTCCGTAACACGGGCAGCGTCAGCCTGATGTTAGCAACCAGCCTACCGTAGTACACTGGGCGGAGTCAGTACTGAATGTTAGACCCACTTAACAGTGTAACACTGGCGCAGGTCGCACTGAATGTTACAGACCACCTTACAAGTAGTAAACATGGCAGCATTCAGCAATGATGTTGCACCTTCAAGTGGTACACATAGCAGCGTCAAGCACTGAAACTGTTAACCCAAGATGTAGTAAGATTGGCAGCAGTCAAGCACTGATGTTACCAACCTCTGCAGTGTAACGCCGGTGTGCTACTCCCAGTCAAGCAACCTGATGTTAAAAACCAATAGCAGTAGGTAACAGCAGCAGGCAGCAGTCCGCACACCTTAGAATGCTTCAACACCTACCGTGATACACACTACAGCGCAGCGTCGCACTGAAATGTTCACCCACCTACAAAGTAAGTACACATGCCAGCAAGTCAGCATGAAAAACAATGTTCACCACCTCGTAGTAAAAATTAAAGGACGCGAGTCCAACACTGGATGTTAAAAACCTCGAAGTATAAGCGGCAGCAGAAGTCACCTGAATGTTAAACACAATAATCAGTAGTAAAATGGCAGCAGTCAGCATGAAATTGTTAGCAAACTTCATAGTAAAATGGCAGCAGTCATTGCTGGCTCGTTCAGAAAGGGTTAGTCAGAAAGATCTGAACGAGCCAGCTAGGTCAAACAGAAGTCAGGGAGGCAGAGACCCTACCGGCATAACTTAATCTCCGCTATTTCTCAGAAATTCTGCGGCGACGCGGGACTGCATATACGACCAATCAGTCAGACGTAAGGCAGTGACAAGCTAGCAAGGTGACCCTGCGATACACACACGCACGCACGCACGTACGCACGCACGCACGCACACACGCACGCACGCACGTACGTAGTCGGTTACATCCTGCTGCCTCTATACGTGGACAACGAGACGGGACTATCTGATAGACTGACTTGCATCTGATCTGGTGATTGCATCTGTTAGAACAGGTTTGGAGATTGGGGCACACATCCACACATTATTACATATCAGGAGTTAATGAAGACAAATCAGGTTGATGAAAAATGCACGCACGTACGCACATACGTAGGCCTATATAAGTAGTCGGTTATATCTAGCTGCCTCTATACGTGGACAACGAGACGGGACTATCTGATAGACTGACTTGCATCTGGTGAGATATCATCTACATTCCAACGATGAAGCAGCCAACTCTCCTTCTCATCACTCTATGTGCTATACTTGTGGCAGTAGCGGGTGAGTTATATACATATACAATAGACTGTACATCTAGCTAGTTCGAATAACCTACTTGACCTGACTTTTAATTAACACGTTATATAAGCAAATCAAACCAAGGAATTAATATGTGATCTGTTGCGTATTTCTCTGTACTTGTAGCGAAGTATTGTCCATGTTTTCTTAATTTGAAACCAGGTTGTTTGTGTTTTAGGTATGCCTACAGCTGGAGACATACCCCGAGACATGCCCGCATTTGCATGTAAGTTATGCAGCGTCAATTCTCACTTATACTAACTTAATACTTAAACTCACAATACTAACGTCCACCCAGCCAGTATAGATACTAACGTTTTTTTTGAAAGCTAATTTATGAATTTCATGAGATGTGCTTTTCTATAATTGCTTGATGAGGAGTCGTAATGTTACACGAATAAATTAAGTGAAGGAACGAGAATGGAGGGAAGAGAAAGGGACGGGATGGTAATGGGAGGGGAGAGGAAGGGAAAGGAGGGGTGAGAGTAATTATATGAGTATGGTATGTGTACGTGTACATACATATGTGTATACGTGCATGCGTGAATGTTAATGTGCGCTCGCGTGCGCGCGTGCGTGCGTGCGTGCGTGCATGCGTGCGTGCGTGCATGTCAATATATAAAGCGAGGATAATAGAAGTAAAGGGTTTACGCTGCTGTTTTGAATGTTGCAGGCTCTTGCGCTAGGTGGCCATGTGAACCCGGCATTCACTCATGTAACACAACTACTCCGGTGTGCAGGTATGTACACCTACAATTCTATCTGCCTCCATGTAATCAGTGGCTTATAAACACATATATAAACAACGATTTGTATGTCTTGATCTAATGCCGTTCATTCACTTATAGTAAATATACAAATATAGATTCACAGTTATAGAATGAATGTGTAAGCATTACTATTTAGTATACATGGTGATATATAACATATACCATGCTCACACTTAATTATACTGATAGCAAGCAGCGTAGAAGAGAGACAAGAGGAGATATTCATAACCAATAAATAATAGCATATTTAGCAACGTGATAATAAAACAGGTAAAATTAAATCGAGATGAAAAACGCAGGCAGTCAGAATCTAGATTAATCCAAGATTCTACTTTTCTGTATATTGACACATTCTCCTACTCTATATGTGCTGCCATCTGCAGTTTAATTAAGAAGTAAAGACATTTTAGAGTCGCGTTACGGTGAATGCAAGTATGCACGATAACTGCATGTCACTAACACTAGGAATGCTCACTGTATTGTATTGTATTTATACATAAATTTACCTAACTCTAGATTATAGATGTCGATTAGTTTGAGTAAATGCAATTCGTGGAAATAATGGGTTGCAGGGTCTCTCTAGTGAGCAAATTTTACAAGTTTGATAATTTTATTTTGAGCTGTTTGTAGAGGTTTTAGTGTAGTTTTGTTGGCTGTACCCCATGTTAATACTGCGTATGTTAGATACGGATAAACCAGTGAATAATATATAGTAGTAAGCAGATCTTGTGGAATATAGTGTCTAAGTTTAGATATAATACCTGTTGATCTTGCAATTTTTGCCGAAATATAGGTAATATGATTCTTCCATGTAAGACGATTATTAATGAAGATTCCTAGATATTTATAGCGGATGTAGAAGGAAGATGGTGGTTTCCCATTTTCACGCTAAAGTTGTTGTTCTGTTTCTTTGAGTTAGAAATAATCATAAACTTAGTTTTCTGATAGTTGACTGATAGGATATTTGCTGATATCCACGTGTCAATTTTTTAAATTTCGGTATTAACTACCCCTAAGTGTTGAAGATCACCGATGTTTTTATTTGTCATAAATAGGTTAGTATCATCAGCAAAAAGTCTGGTGTTAAAATTGGTAGCATTGGGGAGATCGTTAACATAAATAAGAAAGAATAGTGGACCTAGGGTAGGTAAGATCCTTGAGGGACACCACAGGTCGTCTCAGCCAAGTTTGATTTGTATGAATTTATAGATGTATAGTGATAACGATTAGTTATGTATGATCGAAAAAAATCTAAAGCCAAACCTCTGATACCATAATGTTCCAGTTTTGTGAGTAATATATTGTGGTTAACTGTATCGAAAGCTTTGGAAAGGTCCAGAAAAATGCAGCAAGTATCATATGCAGTCGAGAGTCTACTGCATTAACCAAGTTATCAAAGATTTCAGCTGTAGCTAGCGCAGTAGAGTAGTTTTTCCGAAACCCAAATTGATACGTACTAAGAACATTATTCTGATTTAAAAATTTCGTGAGGCGAAAATATAAGTTAGTTTTTCAAAATTGTTTGATAATGGTGATAAGAGAGAGATAGGCCGATAGTTAGCTGGTTCATTCTGTGAACCGGTTTTATGTAAAGGAATTATTTTGGCTATTTCGAGTTGGTCCGGAAATTTCACACTGTTAATAGAGGAATTGAACAAAGTTGTCAAGACAGGGGAAATAATAATTATGAGAGGCCGATTTATAAAATTTAGCTGGTACTTCATCGGGCCCAGTTGCCTTATTGACATTCATAGTTTTGAAGATAGAGTTGACTTCTTTATTTACAATAGGAGTCAAACAGATGGACCAGAGTATGAACATCTCTGCTGCAAGTACCTGTGTGAACCTAAACCTCCATGCCACAAAAACCCCTGTTCTTCTACGCCGTGTGGACGAGGCACCGTATGCAAGTAAGTACACTAGGCAACCATTAGCACACATACTAACATAAACACATCTACAAATAATATGTACATGACGCTACGTGACGTCAGGTCACGCAAAGGTCACGTAAGGGTCACGCAAGCGTTTCTAAACCATGACAGCCGATAATTCAATAGCGAATAGATTCCGATTTGCTCAGTGTTGTGGCGATGTGTTGTCTCTTTGATTGTCAGTAAACAGTATTTTGTACATTCCCAATTTATACTATATCACAGCATTATACATATTACTGTAGATAAGCGCAATTAGTTGACGTGTAATTAGCAGTTTTTAATTGGATATGCGAGTAATTTAAATCTGGTTGTCAACTTATTACATGTGTACGACATTTATTTTCAGGACGGATGAAAATTGCCGGGGAGTATGTGTGGACAGACCTCTAAAGGGTTGGAATGCATCACCGCTCAATGCATCACTGGCAAGAGGTTGAAAGCTTGCTTCGTCGCTCGTTCATGAGTGAGTGACGTCACGTCCATGCGGACTCAAACTCCTATTTAAGGTGCATTGTGACCCTAACCCTAACCTAACTCTAAAAAATAACCCTAACCCTATTAAAAACAAAATTAATTAAATTTTGTACAGTCGAAACTGTGACGTAGGTCTGACGTATGTGAGCGACGAAACAAGCTTTCAACCTTTTGCGCATCACTGCTCAATAATACAAGCATGTGATATCGGCCTGCCATCTGGTGTCGGACAACATAACAACTTTAATATATATGTTCTGGAGAATGCTACTATTACCCAGTGATGTTCATTAATATTAAATATATAAAATGATAATATATTTTCGCAATAATTATCTTAAGTATGATATGGCAATCACATTATTCAATGAGAGTTTGTACTCCATGCATCAATGCTCACTAGCTTGTTGTACTGCAATTATATTTTCTGGGCAAAATGTTTTAAAATGTCAATTAATAATAATCTCTACAATAAAAATCATTTCTAACTATCTAATCCTTGGTTAGTTTCAATCTCCTCACCAAACATGCACATAAATTTATTTTATACGCTTGTTTGTGCGTAAGTTGAATTTTTTTGCAGGACAAATAAGATTTTATATCGAATTTTTAACGTGATTTTTGTATAAAATTATTTCTACTGTCAATAGACAAGGGATTATGAAAGGACTAAACATACAGAGATAAATGCAAAGGACAATGCAAATACAATGTAGGAGACAACAGTACATTATCTAAACAGTATGAACAATGTTATTGCACACACTTCATAAACAATGTTATTATCCAAGTAGGAAAAACAATGATATAATATGGACTTACTCACAACCAACGACTGCAGCATATGTTTCACGCACGCACGCACGCACGCACGTACGCACGCACGCACAATTATATATATATAAATACGAGAAACTGATATTTTCCACCCAGCGTGGCTTGGCTTCAAGCCTCCGTCACCCCAAACTCCACGACAGAATGGCGGCTTTCACTTCATTTGGCTGCAATCGGCGGCGTCCACGGTTTGTCAATAGTGGGGGGCCAATTGAGAGAATGAAGCGACGCATGCGCGGGGGGCTGAGTTTTAGGGGCGCGAAGAGCCGAGCGAGGAAGCCAGGGCGAGCTGCCGAGCGGGGGTGGGTGTGGAGGGTAGGGAGCTTTTCAATTTCGCACTGAAATGGAGGCAATATGGTGCACATCGACAAGTAAAAATTCAATTTTAAATGGAAGAAAACGGAATATACACCTTTTCAGTAACATGTCTATGTACATGTCAACTATAGTGAAGTATAAATTTGATGCATATGAATACTTAATTGGAGGGGGAAAATAATATGAAATAGGAATCTTTTTCAGGGCGTACAGAAATTTCATTTCTCAGACCTGTAATAGTCAAAAATAACATTGCGAATTGATAATTTAAACACTTATAAACATCACTCGACTAGCTTTTTGCTTTAGTTTATGAGGTTTCTTCATGTTGGGCTGACCACAGTTTTGCCTTAAAAACCCAAGCTGCTTAGGATATTTAAATAAAGAATACATCAAATTTATTAATTAAAAAGATTAAGAACTAAAGTGCAATTACTCCAACTAAAGAATAAAAGGAAATTAGATATAAAATATTACATAAAACTAACGGCTCATAAGGGTCTTATGTCCGCGCGGAGGTTACTGCGGAACGTCTGTACGTGCGGTATACGCGCTGCGTTCATGCTGTGCGTACAGCGTGCGTACAGCGTGCGTAGTGCGTAAAGTACAGTGTGTGGCAATATGCCAGACGGACTGAATCGACCCTCGATCGAGCCTCCGAAGCACAGGATCAGGCCCCGAAGTCCGCACGGTATTGGGGCAAATACGGCGCTGTGCATGTCTGTTTGCTATAGAGTAAGGCAGAGGCTAGAGGGACTTCGTCAAACTTTGTAATTTTCCAGTAGGCAGATGAAAATGTGGATAAACACTCTCTTTCGCTCTTTCCCCCTTCCTCTCCTCCTTATTCCCTCTTTCTTTTCTTGCATTTCTTTCCGATCATACAAAATACATATAGACTTATATTTTCTGCCTGTATAGTGGGGGGGGGGGGTTCGGGGCGCCGCCCCTGCAATCTACTGTATCTACTGTATCTATTGTATCTATTGTATGTATTGTATCCTGAGTGTGCGAAGGGGGGCGCTGCATGCAGTTTGACCTCCCCCTTCAGACACATCCCGCCCAACTTACAGTCATAACTCACAGATTATTGTAATAACAACACAACACTGCGAGTCAAGCAAGGAAGCTAACACGACTCTCTGCTGCATAAATAGCCGAGGTACCGCACGCACGGGCGCAAAGACTCGTGCACAGTCACAGAGTCAGGATGCCGGTGTTGCCACGAGGGCACTGGGCAAGCGGATGGTGTTACCCATCGGAAATGTCCATGCTCGTGCAGCCGAACTCCTTATGTGCATTCGCGCATGAATGTGCACGCACGCGTGTATGTGCGCGCACGCGCGTACGTGCCCGCACGCGTGTACGTGCACGCACGCTTGTATGCGTGTATGTGCACGCGCGTATGTGTACCCATGTGCGTACGTGCACGCATACGCGTATATACGAACGCCTGCGTGTACGTGCGCGCACGCGTGTAAGTGTACGCACGCGTGTATGCGCACGCATGCGTCTATGTGCATGCGCGTACGTGCACGCACGTGTGTAAGCGGGCGCATGCGTGTACGTGCTCGCATGCGTACACGCACGTGTACGTGCGCGCATACGTGCATGCCCACGCGTCTATGCGCCCGCCCGCGTATATGAACGCACGCGTGTACGTGCGCGCACACGTGTATCTGCACCCATGCGCGTACGCGCACGCATATTCGGCCGCCCGCGTGTATGCGCACGCCTGCTTGTACGTGCACGCACGCGTGTACGTGCGCGCATGTGCGCATGTACGTGCACGCATGCGTGTATGTGCATCATCCCATTTTTAAGCAAAAATTACTTTACATAGCTTCTCAACACATTAACAAAGTAAAACGTGCTTCATCATATTTCCTAAATACCTTCAATTTGGCATGTTTCTTGCTCCACCAAATGAAGCCTTGATCTCCTCTTATTCGTCGGAAGGGTATGAGCCAATAACAGCTCATCTTATCTGATATGTGTTAGACCCACACACGTTGTTATAGCCCTATGCACGTGAAATCACAAGTTCTATAATTATTTGCCTCAGCTATGACTAATGAATGCTTCACGCTCCCTAATTGCTGATCACCCAACAGTCTGACAATTTTTGCATCCTAAGCCAATAAAGGCGGAAACATAAGCAGATAGATCAGACAGAAAACAGCGCGGCGCTACATCGCATCGTGTACAATGATAAGGACAGACACACGGGCGGCTTCGCATCTCATTATCAATTCTTGAACGCGCCAGAGTTTCATAGATAAGCCTTTTCCTTATACTCCGCGGTTTTCTCACGAATATCAACACTAGCGGTAATTTTCGGCGCGTGGCGTGTCAGCATGCTAGGCGCCGTAGTCTCTGGTCCACGCCCCGGACGACCACAGAATTCGATCACGACTCTCCTTCACGCGCGCACACCTATCTAACTTATATACAAGAGCTATACTAGTATATTACGAGCTAATCTCGCTATTTCTCAGAATATTCTGCGGCGAACGCGGTGACTGCATATACACACCATTCAAACAGACGTCAGCGTTTTCGTTCGGAGTGTTCGTGGCCTAAAGTCCGTCTTCCGAATGCGAGTGTGAGGGATTGCGGTAACTAAGATGTTTGTCTAGCAGCCACTCAACGGCTGTCCACAGCCGCCTCCTGAGTCCCCACTACCACAATACTAACATCACACACACACACCACACAACACACACCACACACACACACACAACACACAACACACCCACACATTCACACACCACACACACAAGCATCCCTTCCACCAGACTACACACACACATATACAACTTCACTTATCTCTGCTGTTAACACACAATACATCTACACACACACACACAACAACTACACGACACCACACACACACACACATCACACACACAATCACACACACACATATATAACAGTAAATCCAGATCATACAACAACCAGTGATTTCTCACGACACGCACACACGCACATCCCCGCACCTCGCACGCAACAGCACGCACGCACGTACGTTAGTCGTTACATCTACTCCCTAACTTTGTACAACGATACGACATCTGATAGACAGACTTGATCTGAATAGATCTTACATTCCAACGATTGCAAGCAGCCAACTCTCCCGTTCTCCACACTCTACACTCTACATCTTGTAACTGGGTGAGTTATTATAATATTCATAATAATAATAGGAGAGTGGACTTTCATAACACAGGAAATTCGTCATTACCTAACCTAGAACACCTAGATTTACTAAGCGAACTCAATACCAACTGACTCATCGTAACGTCACATTCGCCCTAGCATCTGCGAAATCGTTCTCCATATACACCTGCCAATGCGAGATACAGACTAAAACGTCGACACATTTCCATTCATTTGCCTCAGCTAAACGAATTATAAAAGCCGCTCTAACTTGAAACAAAAGCAGCTACTACCGACCTCTTGCTCCCATCGGCATCGTGTGCTTCGCCTATCCTGCTTTGGTTTCAATAGCGTTTATACATTCAGTCTGCTGCAACATATATGAAAAATCGGTCGTACGTTTTTAGTCTTATCTCCGGATTGCGGGAACGAGGAAACGATTCGCTCGATGCTAGTCGAATTACTGTGTCCGATTGAGATGCTCAATCTGTTGAGTACGCTAGTAAAAATTCGTAGTACATCTAATGGCTAAGTACATGACGATATTCGCCTTGTTATTGAATTCACATCACACTCCTTTTCTATTATCTCATCGATATATACACTTATATAAAATACATAGACTGTACATATAGATAGTTTAATAACCTGCTGACTGATTATGAACGCAAAGTTCAACAAATTCAAACAAAGAATATAATATACAGTTCCACCTTTCTTTGTTCTTGCCGAACAATATTTACATTTTCGTTAATAAAACGTTTGTTTTTTTTTATAGCTACAGCTGAAGGCGGCCGCACATATTAAGTTATACCAGCGTCAATCTCACTTACAACAACGTCCAACCAGCCAATAGATACATAGATATTATAGATGTTAATTCGCAGCGTCAATTCTCACTTACATCTGACAATCCACCCAGCCAGTATTATGTATACATAGATAATAGATATGTAAGTTAGCAGCGTTAATTCTCATATCAGCTTAACTCCACCCACTCAGTATAGGATACCATAGATATTAGAGATTTAAGTATGCAGCGTCAATTCCACTTACAACTTACGTCTAACCAACCCCAGCCAGTATAGATACACTAATAATAAGATAAAGTAGCAAAGCGTTTAATCACCTTACACTACTCCACCAGCCTATATAGATACATAGATATATAGATATGAAATATGCACG